GGGGTTGCTGGGGATGGAGGTTCCTGGAAGCCTGGCTGTCAGGGGGTTGAGCCCAGTTCAGCTTTCCCATCCCCAAGAGCATCCTGATGAGAATGGCCTTGATTTTCAAGGCGGGAGGGTCCCGCCGAGGCACCCTGGGGGTTCCTCGTAGGTTTTGAGGAGGAAAGTGAGCTAGCCAGAGTCACAGGGGTGGCCAGGCCTTCCTCGGCCCTTCCCCACTGCCTGATGGCCACCCTGACTGTCCCCGCAGGAGGGCTCCCTGAGGACTTCCTGAATTCGCTGGAGAAGACAGAGGATGACAAGCTGAAGGTCACCCTCAAGTACCCTCACTACTTCCCCCTGCTGAAGAAGTGCCACGTGCCCGAGACCAGAAGGAAGGTGGAGGAGGCCTTCAACTGCCGCTGCAAGGAGGTGAGACGGTGCCGCTGGGTCCACCCCACAGCCTGTGCCACCTGCTCGGTCCGCGGCTTTGCCCCAGCAGGGCCACCCGGTTGGGCACAGTGACCGGCAGAGGTCTCCTGCTGCACAGAGCAGGGCTCGGAGCCCTCTTCCCTGCGTCGTCCTTCCCTGCGGCTTTGTGTGCACCTGACCGTGCACACCTGGTTCTCCCTCTTCTTCAGCTGTGCCTCACACGCCCGAGCCTCACATATCGTCCTCACAGCAGTGAGGTAGTGGCCGGGCCTTCACGCTGTGGCCCGGCGCTGGTGTTTGTGTCCCCTCCCCTACCACATGGCCAGAGGCCTCACAAACGGAGGGTCTTGCACAGATGGGGCAGTGAGGGTGGGCCCTTGGCCTTCTTTGATGACTTCACACTGGTGCTCTTGGCTGACAAGCGGAGCCGTTGGCCTGAGGTCCGAGCTGCCCCCTGCCAGCCATGCAGGGGCACAAACAACCTGCAGCACGCGACATGGTAGAGGTGGGCTGTAAAATCCTGTGTTTCCAGTTCTTTGGACTGGAGGCTGGCCACATGGGTATTACGGTCACTTGGTCCCAGACGCCACCCCCACCCCCCCCCACTGCATAATTTAACGTGTGGCCCTAGAGCAGGTGGGCTGCCCCCTCACCAACGGCAAGTTGCTGGTTGCCCCCAGGATGAGTGACCTCTCATTGCTCAGGGGCCAAGGACTCAGGGGTGGGGAATGTCTTGCCTTCTACATGTTAGTGATGAATTCCTCTCTCTGCTGGGACTTGACCTCCCTGAAGCTCCTTGGAAAGTCTGCTGGGTGGGGGTCATTCTCACTGTTGAGCCTGCTGGAGCCCCGCAAGAGTCCTTGTCTCCAAATCTGTCCTGGTCCCCAGGCTTGAGTGGCAGAGCGAGGGGTGTGCCAAGTTCCGGGACCAAGGGGGATGTGGTGCGTTGCCTGGTGCCACTGGCCGCCGGCCCCATCCCCATCTGACTCACAGCTCTCCCCACAACTCCCCTTTTTGATTTGGTTTCCTGGGACCGGTCATGCTGAGGGCGTGTTCTGTTCTGACTGGGCTCTTTCTCCTTGTGAATGAGCTGGGTGGGCTTTATCTGGGCATCATCAGCCCTCAGCTTGGGTGGGTGGGCAGGCCGAGCCTCAGAGGGAGGTCTGCTTTTACCTCAGAGGTGGGTAGGGCCTGAGGCTGTGGCCAGACCCTGGACAATCACTTCCTGTTTTCAGCTCACACCTTTTCTGGCTCCCAAAACGAGTTGGGGCTTATGAAGACACGCGTGGAGTGACAGGCCAGAGCGCATAGGGGCCCAGGCTGGGAGAAGCAGGAGCAGGAAGGGCCAAGGAAGTGGCCAGGAGACCTGCGAGCCTGTGCCCTAGGATAGGAGGTCACTGGCCTGGGCAGTGGTGGGTGTGGCGCCCCTTGGCCAACCTCTGGTACATGTGTGTTGCAGGAGAACTGTGCCATCCTCAAGGAGCTGGTGACGCTACGGGCGCAGAAGTCCAGCCTGCTGGGATTCAGCACACACGCCGACTACGTCCTGGAGATGAACATGGCCAAGACCAGCCAGGCCGTGGCCACGTTCCTGGGTAGCCCCCTGCTTCCCTCAGCTTCTTCCCACCGTGGATCCCAGAGGGAGGGTTGTGGGGGCCACCGCCAGGCTGAGCCAGGCACCCAGGCTGTTCCTGACCTTGGTGTGGTGTCCCCTCCGAACCTCATTCTTTGCATCCGTGGAGCAGGAATTCTGACCTTTCCCTGATGCCCCCGTTCAGCCTGGGGGGACCTTAGGTAACAGTTAAGCACCTGGGCTCTGGAGTTGGGTGTGCAGTGGGCTCCCAGCCTTGCTGCCTCCACCCTGAGCTCTGGACAGCAGCTCCACGCTGAGCCATCTCCTCATCGGAAAAACAAGGATGATAGAGTCCCTCCTGTGGATGCTGGGAGGTGCCGTCCCATGCTGGCTGCCGCATTTGGCCCACACCAAGGCCTCCGTGTTGCTGGTGGTGAGCACCGGCCAGCTCAGGCCCTCCCTTCCCAGGCGCATGCGGAGCCTGCCCCACGAGCTGGCCCTGCCTCTCTGCCTTCCCGCAGACGAGCTGGCGCAGAAGCTGAAGCCTCTGGGCGAACAGGAGCGAGCCGTGATCCTGGAGCTGAAGAAGGCCGAGTGCGAGAAGCGGGGCCTGACCTTCGATGGGCACATCCACGCGTGGGACATGCGCTACTACATGAACCAGGTGGAGGAGATGCACTACCGCGTGGACCAGAACCTGCTCAAGGAGTACTTCCCCATGCAGGTGGTCACCCGGGGGCTGCTGGGCATCTACCAGGAGCTGCTGGGGCTCACCTTTGAGCTGGAAGAGGGCGCCACCGTGTGGCACGAGGACGTGAGGCTGTACGCGGTGCGGGACGCGGCCTCTGGGGAGGTGATCGGCAAGTTCTACCTGGACCTCTACCCGCGGTGGGTATGGGCAGTGCCTCACGCGGGGGCGGGGTGGGGGGCCCGTCTCTGAGCCCCAGCTCCCTGTCACCCACTCCATGGGGCCATGGTGATAGAAAACAAGAGGACCCGCATGGGACCTGCTGCGCCGTGGGAGCTGGTGCGTGACTTCACTCTTGCTCAGCCACCTGGGCAGGAGTGGCAGCTCTGGAGTCTGGGAGCTGTGGCCTGCTCTGTGTCTCCATGCTGGCCTGTGGCCGACGCCCCGGGAGGCTTGCCCAAGGAGTGGGGGCCGTGTGCACAGCACGGTGCTCCCTTGACCTCTGGACCAGGTGCTCCTCTAGGCTGGAGAAGGAGGCCTAGACCCCTTGCCTGTGGCCAGTAGCCCCGGTCATCCCAGATGGGCTGAGTGTCACAAAGTCAGGGAATGTCAGAACTGGGGACTGTCCTGGTATCCCAGTCCCCAGCAGGGCCTGACTCTTCCTCCCTCCCTCCCCAGGGAAGGGAAGTACGGGCACGCGGCCTGCTTTGGCCTGCAGCCTGGCTGCCTGCGGAAGGTGCTCCTCTAGGCTGGAGAAGGAGGCCTAGACCCCTTGCCTGTGGCCAGTAGCCCCGGTCATCCCAGATGGGCTGAGTGTCACAAAGTCAGGGAATGTCAGAACTGGGGACTGTCCTGGTATCCCAGTCCCCAGCAGGGCCTGACTCTTCCTCCCTCCCTCCCCAGGGAAGGGAAGTACGGGCACGCGGCCTGCTTTGGCCTGCAGCCTGGCTGCCTGCGGAAGGACGGCAGCCGCCAGATCGCCATTGCGGCCATGGTGGCCAACTTCACCAAGCCCAGCCCTGACGCCCCATCCCTGCTGCAACACGACGAGGTGGAGACCTACTTCCACGAGTTCGGGCATGTGATGCACCAGCTCTGCTCCCAGGTGGGTGCCAGGGGGCTGCAGTCAGGCTCCTCGGGTTCCGCTCTGCTCCCTGCTGGATTCTCATCTTACATTGCCACAGAGATGGTGTCACCCTCTTGTGTCAGTGTATTGGGGCTGCCGTAGTAAAGCACCACATGCTGGGCATCTGAGATCAAGGCATGGCAGGGCTGTTTCCTCCTGAGACCTCTCTCCTTGGCGTATCGACGACTTCTCTCACGTGGTCGTCCCTCTGTGTATGTCTGTGTCCTAATCTGCTCTGTATAAGGACACCAGTCCTATTGGATCAGGGCCCACCCTAGCGACCTCATTTTGCCTTAATTGTCTCTTCCTATGTCCTGTCTTCAAACACAGCCACATCCTGCAATCCTGGAGGTTAGGACTTCAGCGTATGGATTTGGGGGTGGGAGCCACACTTCAGCCCATAGAGCTGTTGGAGGAGGAAGAGGAAATGATCCGTGGTCTTGCCTAGAGCGTGCTTGGTGCAGAGAGGCCTAGCTCCCCGTTAGCTCAGAGCCAGGGCTGCAGGCCCCCACACAAGCCCCACTTGAGATCCAGTAAACACTGAGCCCAGGCGTGTCGGTCTGCCGTCCTCAGTGGATGTACGGAAGCTCAGAAAGTTCCAGGACTTCCCCAAATAGGCTTTCGGTGGCCAAGACAGGCCTCGCCCCGGGTTGTCTGGGCCCCCGGCCTTGTGTCCCTGCCCCTGCCTCCTGGCTGTGCCTGCATGATGTGACCTTGCCTCTCTCTGTCACATGCACAGGGCACCCTTTCCCCTGATAGCGAGAATGTTTTTGGAAGGGCTAAACAGAAGCACGCGGGAACTGGGTGCTTGCTGAGTTTTAGTAAACTTACCAAGTCGTGCAACCATCCCCCATCTAATTCCAGGACAGGTAGTCACCCAAAGAGAAGCCCCGTCCCCATCAGCAGCCACTCCCCATCTACTCATCCACGTTCTGTCTCTGTGGATTGGCCTGTTCTGGACATTTCCTATAAATGGAGTCACACACTGTGTGGCTTTTTGTGACTGGCGTCTGTCACGTGAGTGTGACGTGTTCAAGGTCCATCCACGTGGTAGTGTGTGTCAGAGCCTCGTTCCTTTTCCTAGCTGAGTAATGTTCTCCCACGTGAATATGCTACTTAACAGTGTCTTTTGATGGGCAGAAACTTTTAACTTGGATGAAATTCAACCTCGTAACTTTCATTTTTCTCAGCTTGTACTTTCTTTGTGTTCTGTCAAAAAAAACTGTTTCCTAATCCAAGGCACTAAAGACTTTGTCCCAGTTTTGGGGGCTAGAAGTTTACTGTTTTGGCTCTTCACCGTGGTTCGTCATGCATAGTGAGCTAAACATTGCCCGTGGCAGGAGGAAGGGCCGGGGCGGTCAGATCTTCCTGGAAGCAGGTCCGTCTGGCCTGTGTGAGGGCCAGGCCTGAGGCAGAAGGACCCAGGAGGGGCTATCACCAGTGAGACCATGATGAGGCCCGCCAAGCCAGGGGGGCAGATGCAGGTGGGGGGAAGATCATGGTGACTTGTTTGGAGAGTTGACAAGGGAGAGGAGGGGAGTCCAGGGTGTCTCCCAGTGTCTGGTTGGGTGCTCAGGTGGCAGGTGCTGCCATCGTGGGGGGAGTTTCAGTGGGAGATGCCTGTGGAGAAGACGGTGGTGATCACTGGGGCCCATCCTGGTGTCCAGGAGGCGCTTGTGTCTGGCTTTGCACAGTGGGGGTCCTGTTGGTGTCAATGAAGACCAGGGAGCAGCCCTTGGGGCAGCCCAGGGAGGGCATGGGAGATGCCTGTGGAGAAGACGGTGGTGATCACTGGGGCCCATCCTGGTGTCCAGGAGGCACTTGTGTCTGGCTTTGCACAGTGGGGGTCCTGTTGGTGTCAATGAAGACCAGGGAGCAGCCCTTGGGGCAGCCCAGGGAGGGCAGGGTCCATGGAGACGACAGGAAATTGGCCGCCAGGACTGTTGAGAGCCTTTCCGGAAGGCTCTTAGCAGTCTGTTCATCTGTCCCTTTGGGGCGCAGAGCTCTCGAGAGCTGGCTCCGTGGCTAGGGGAGGAACGTGAGGGGTCAGCATGGATGGTGCCTGTGGCTGGCGTTCTCAGGTGTGTCCTGGGCTGGGACAGGTCGGCCAGCAGCAGCTTGGGGGCCTTGTCAGTCCCCATCATTTTTCAGGCTTCATAGTCTGGCAGAGGGTGGCCCAAGTACCTTGAGTTAGCACCCAGGCCAGGCCAGGCCAATGGGACCAGGCCGAGCAGGCCCGGGCATCCCCAGACTCTGCCCTGTCCCCATGCAGGCCGAGTTCGCCATGTTCAGTGGGACCCATGTGGAGCGGGACTTCGTGGAGGCACCTTCGCAGATGCTGGAGAACTGGGTGTGGGAGAAGGAGCCGCTGCTGAGGATGTCCCAGCACTACAGCACAGGCAGCCCCATGCCCCAGGAGCTGCTGGAGAAGCTCATCAGGTCCCGGCAGGCCAACACAGGTGTGGCCCGTCCCTGTGGCTCTCGAGCCTCTGTTGCCCAGGCTGCGCTCAGCGAGGGCCTGGCATATGCCCTCAGGGGCATCAGGACAGGTGGGCTGGAGCAGGCTTGGGCGGTCACAGAGGCTGGCCTCCCATCTCTCCCTCCTCCTGCCTAGGACTCTTCAACCTGCGCCAAATTGTGCTCGCCAAGGTGGACCAGGCCTTGCACACACAGACAGATGCAGACCCGGCCGAGGAGTATGCCCGGCTCTGCCAGGAGATCCTGGGGGTCCCAGCCACACCAGGTAGTCTCCTGTGAGCCAGGCCTCCTGAGACTGCAGGGCCATTGCCTTGGGAGCTCAAAGGGAGTTGAGCAGTTTGCAGGCTGAGGCTGAGACCTCGGGAGTGGCAGGGCCCCCCACCCTCTGACCCTGGGCTCCCTGCCAAGCATCACCATGGTTTGATTTAGGGAAGCCTTCCCCTATAACAGGGGTTCTTGCCAGGGGTTGTCATAACTGGCAGGGGGGGATGCTCCTGTCATGGAGTGGGTGGAGGCCAAGGACACTGCTCAGCACCTGCAGCGTCCAGGACGGCCCCACCATGGAGGAGGATCCAGCCCCTGTGTCCACAATGCTGAGGGGGCATTAGATGTCTCCCTCGTACCCTCTCCTGTCACTGCAGTGTGGGGTGGCTCCAGGCAGCTGGCCCCCATGTGAGCAGGGACATCTCTGCCTCAGCAACCACAGGCAGCTTCTCAGGTTATATTTCCCAAGTGCAGGAGCCACTGCTGGGGGAGCCACAAAACGTGCCTGGGGCTTCTCGGAGTGTCCCCGCAGGCAGGGTGGCCTTGGCTGAGAAGCTGGCTGAAGGGGAAAGGGGGAGTGGGGTCCCAGGCCTCCAAGGAAGGTGGGCATTCTCTTAAGCCTTTACTTTAGAGAACAGATGAATGAAGCTAGTTTTTTCTTGATCTAAAAGCGTAACGTATGCTTTGTGAAAAGCCTGGAAAAATGCAGGAAAGACTAGTAGTTTCAGATCCTGAAGATAACAAGTTGATGACATTGTGATGTACACCCTTTATTTGTGTGTTTAAGGAAAAATGCAGGAAAGACTAGTAGTTTCAGATCCTGAAGATAACAAGTTGATGACATTGTGGTGTACACCCTTTATTTGTGTGTTTAAGTGTGTGTGTGTGTGTGTATACACGTGTGTGTTGATATATACATATGTAGAGATAATTGTGACTTTAATGTATGTCGTGTTTTATTGGCTTAGTATTCATAAACATTTAAAAAATCTTTCAAAAAGTATTTTAGTGCGTAATACTCCATCACGTAGGTGTGCCTTGGTTTACACATGCAGTCTTCTAACATGGCACGTTTCTTCCTGGCAGCCAACACTGTCATTAGAAACCCTTTTGACCTTCCACACATGGTGGACAAAGATGTGTGCTCTTGGCAGAGCTGCCGGCCCTGCTTTCTAGAAGTGTTGGGCCTGCCCCTGCTCACTGTAAGCCTTGAGCCTTCTTCCCTGTTCCAGGCCGGAGTCTCTGCCGAGGCTGCTTTGATGTCCTCACTCCTGGGAGGGTGGAGCGGCTGGCGGGGGCGAAGCCTGAGCCTCGCCTGTGTCTGTCCAGGGACTAATATGCCTGCGACCTTCGGCCACCTGGCGGGAGGCTATGACGCGCAGTACTACGGCTATCTGTGGAGCGAGGTGTACTCCATGGACATGTTCCACACGCGCTTCAAGCAGGAGCACAAGCCTGGGCCAGTCGGGACGTGGGCTTTGGGGCCTGCTTTGCACCCGGGTACACACCTGGCTCAGCCTTCTGCACCTGTTTCCGTGACTTTTAGCCTCTGAGCACAAGAGGGTGCGTTTTCTCTTGGCAGAGCTGGTAGCCATGCCATGTGACCAGGAGGGTTATGCCAAGAAGGTGGAAATGGATACCAAGATTCACAGCAGTGTCCCTCATGCTTAAAATACCTGGGCTCAAAAAAGAAAGAACAAAACAGATTACACCAGGGCTTCCATCTGGGCACCTTCTGATCAACAGAGGCGGAGCCCTCACCCTGGACGCAGGCAGATGGCGAGGCTGGTGGCTCTCCTAGCCTTTCCAGCTCTGAGCCTGCAGATGGCCTCTGCCCTGTCCTGTGCAGAATCCAGATGTGTCAGAGCACCCCTGGCTGTGCCCTGGGCAGTTGGGGTGGGCGGGGGTCACAGGCCTCAGGCAGATGGCCCACCTGTCCACGTGCCCTTGTCCACCCCAACCCTCACATGAGTCACCAGGCTTTGACGCTCAGCTTGGATACTTATGTGCAGGCGCTCTGGCAGCCCTTTGCCCCCCGGCCTCTGTTTCCTGTTCTTCTGGGGATACCAAGGGACTCAGGCACAGATTCTCGGCTGGGAACCCCGTGCTCCATGGAGAATTCTCCTCAGATCCCCGAGAAGGCAGCAGGGACGTTACCGAGACCTGGAACAGCAGGCAGAGGGACCTGGCTGGTGTGTGTCAACCAGAACAGCCACCAGGACCTCTAACTGTTGGTTCCTGAGGCTGAGCTGAAGGCTCGGGTCGCAGGGACATGGCCCCTTGCTGGGAGCTGTCAGCCACGGCCTCAGCGGCCCTGCCTCCCCTCACACTGTTCGGAGGTGTCTCTCAGGAACTCTGTCGCAAGCCCTTCCAGGGTTCTACCAGCAGTCTCCAGACAGCCTGGTGTTGGGATCCCCTGCATGTCTGCGTTGTCATCCACCTCCCCAGCCCCATGGAAAGAAGGAGAAATACTAATTAAAACATATATATTGGAGCTTGTATGTTGTGCAACCTTCGTAACGTTTCTCTATAAACTCGTTGGGTTTTAATGAATGAAACCTGAATGCAAAGGGGTTTTTCCATGCGTCGCCTGTCCCAGCCAGGGGGGCCACCTCCAGGTGGCTTGGGCTGCTGGCTCCTTGTCCCTGCCAACCCCACCCCAGGTTTTGTGCCATAACTCAGTTTTGATCCCTCAGGAAGTATTTCTCGAGCTCCAGTATGTTCAGGACAACTGAGAAGACCTTCTGGGTACTGGTGGGGTGGCCTCCAGCAGCCTCACGTGTCTCACCCCTAACCGGGACACCAGTGGGGCCTTGTAGGACTGACCAGTGGCAGGTGTGCCCGCAGATGGGGCATCTCAGGATCAGAGCCAGCGTCCATGCCTCACCCCGCAACGCCGGCTGAAGGCTGTGGCCTGTGCGAAACCTATTGAAGAGGCCTTTCTCTCTAGTTTGGGGAATAAAGTTGGTTCATGAAACTCAAGTTCAGTTCAGATATTGATGGACAGTGGGTTGTGCCCTGGGCCGGGAGGCAGGAGGCCTGGGTTCAAGGCTCAGTGATAGACGGTTGGGTAGAGGCACCCAGGGGCAGGGGGCTCCAGCCTGGGCTGGGGGTCAGGTGGTAGGGTAGGTGACTCCCTGGGAGACTGAGCTCACCCTGGGCCTGCCCAGAGCATGGCCCTTCCAGGTCGTGGCAGGCCAGTGTGACGCTCTTGTCTTCACACCTGGAACTTCCTGCAGGCACCCCCTCTTGCCCTGTTCTCAGCCCACGAGGCCGGTGGTGCAGGCCACCTCACTGGCCACCAGTCACCACTGGTCCCTGGATGGACTGATGACCATTCTGGATCATCTGGATCAGTGCTGTTGGGCCTGTGACTGTTGTTGATACCATTAGCAAAAAGAATTTTTTCCTCCTGAACCTGAAACTGGGAGGCTATAGGGTACTGAGCACATGGGGCTGCTTGGAGTGAAGCCGGCTGACAGACACACAGGACCCCAGAGCTGGGACAGAGCCTGCCGACAACACCATCTGAGCACCTGCGTCCCAGCCCGCATGGAGGCTGGTCCTGTCCCTGCACCCTGCAGTTAGGTGAGCCAACAAATTCCCTTGTTTTGCTCAAGCCAGTTTGAGTGGCATTTTGTCACTTGTACCCAAAAGACTTCTGCCCTTCATGTCCCTGCTGACACCACCTGACATATCCAATGCTGGAGCTGGACTTGTCAGAACAGACCACCCTGTGGGAGCTCCAAGGCCTGGCTGCTGCTCTCCCAGGGCCCTGCCCCTTGGGTTGGGGATGTTGAGGTCATTGGGACTGAGGTGTACTGGGGTGCTGGGGGGTGCTGCATTGGTTCTGAGCCGAGGCACAGACCAGAGGTCTACTGGCTTCTTGTCTCTGCCCTCCCGTCTGTGCAACCTTACCACACCCCACAGTGACTAAGTCTGGGAGGGACGCTGCCGTCATCTGCTCCCCTCGTCAGGGGAAGTAGGTCAGCAGAGGGGAGTTGCCCAGGACCGCACAGTGAGGCAGGATGGGGGCTGGACCCTGCCCCAGGCTCCTGATGCCCCAGCCAGACGCATTGAAGAATCTCCGAACAATTACCAGGTCAGGAAGGGGGTAAGTTTCTATATATATATTTTTTTCCTTTTTGTCTTTTATACTGACCGGTAATGGGATTGCAACCCTCGGTGTTGCGCCCGCACCGCGCTTAGCCAGTGAGCGGGGACCGGTCTCCACATGGGATGCGAACCCTCGGCGGGAGCGCCGCCATGCTCCCAAGCGCGCACTCTCCAGTGCGCCACTGGGCCGGCCCAAAGTTTCTATATTTTTAACAACTTTACTAAGGAGGTAAAGTTGCCATAAAATAAACTACACATATTTAATGCCCAGTAGTCTCCTACTTATCCTCAGGGGATACGTTTCAGGGCCCCCAGTGGATGCCTGCAACAGTGGATAATATCAACCCTATATGTACTGTTTTTTCCTGTACATACACACCCATGACAAAGTTCAACGCAGAAATTAGGCACAGTAAGATCAACAGCAACAACAAACAGTAGGACATTCAAATATACAGTCATGTGTCACTTAACGATGGGATGTGTTCTCAGAAATGCGTCGTTAGGGGATTCTGTCATTGTGCAAACATCATAAAGTGCACATACACAAGCTACATGGCACTGCCTCCTACACACCTAGGCTGTGCGGAATAGTCATTCAATCTTAGGGGACCACTGTCGCGTATGTGGTCCGCTGTTGACAGAAACCATGACTCTGCAGCCGTGACTACTATAGTAAGAGTCAGTGAATGTGGTCTTTCTCTCTCTCTCAGAATGTCCTCTCGTGCTGTACTCACTCTTCCTGTGACGTGTTGACCTGATAACTGAGATGGCTACCAAGTGACTGACAGACGGGGAGCACGTCCAGCGTGGATCCGCTGGACAAGTGTGACTGACAGCCGGGGCAGGACGGAGTGGGATGCTGTGAGACTTCCTCACACGACTGAGAGTCGCGTGCAACTTAAAACTTCTGAGTTGTTTATTTCTGAGATTTTCCATTTAATACTTTCAGACTGCAGTGTACCGTGGGTAACCAACCAGGGACAGTGAAACTGCAGATCAGGGCGGGCTACTGGATACAACTTGCTAACTTTGGACATATGTATACACTCATGAACGCGCCATCCCTGCTCCCACCCCGCTCGTCGCCCTCACTATGCAACCACTGGTCTGCTTTCTGTCACTATAGATTCATTTCCATTTCTAAAGTTTTGTATAAATGGAATCATACAGGAGGCACTCTTTATTTATTTTGTTGTTGTTGTTGTTTCCGCCTGGTTTCTGTCACTGAGAATAATTATTGTGAGATCCATGTATGTGGATCCTTTTTACTGGTCAGTCGTACTCCATTATACGGATGGACACTTGTTCATCCATTCACCGCCCCTACGGTTCGCCTTGGATTGGTTCTAGTTTTGGGCTGTTAGGAATAAAGGCTGCCGTGGACATTTGTGTACAAGTCTTTGTGCAAACATACGCGTTCATATTTCTTGGGTAAATGCCTACAAGTAGGTTTAAGCCGTTCGAATAAGTGTGAAGTGGCGTTTCGTCGTGGGTTCAGTTTGCATTGCCCTAGTGGCTAATGATCTCCAGTGTCTTCTCACATGCTATGTGCCGTCCGTGTAACTTCTTTGGTGAAGTGTCCCTTCAAATCTCTTCCCCCTTTCTATATACCAGCAGTAAGCATTGGAAAAGGAAATATTTACATGTTTAAAAGATACCATTTATAATAACATCAAATACCTAGGAACGGGTCTAACAGAAGATGTGGCATTCCTCTACGCTGACAACGGAGATATTGTTGAGGGACACTAAAGAAGACCTGTGAGTGGAAGGATAGAACACATTCCCCAGATGGAATCGGAGGCTTTGTGCGATGTTCGTTCTTCCCCACGTGGGTATATAGATTCAATTCAATCCCAGTTAAAATCCCAGCAGTCTTTTATCTTTGGCAGAAACTGACTAGATGATTCGAAAATTTATATCAAAATGTGAAGAGCCAAGGACAGCCAAGGCAGTCTCGAAGAAGAGCAATGCATTTGGAGGACACACACTCTGAGATATCGAGACTTATCACAAAGCTACAGGAATTCAGAAAGTGTGATATACTGGGCTGGCCCGTGGCTCACTCGGGAGAGTGTGGTGCTGATAACACCAAGGCCACGGGTTCGGATCCCATATAGGGATGGCCGGTTCGCTCACTGGCTGAGCGTGGTGCTGACAACACCAAGTCAAGGGTTAAGATCCCCTTACCGGTCATCTTTTTTTTAAAAAAAAAAAAAAAAGAAAGTGTGATATCTGGCGTAAGGATGCACAAGTTGACTAAAAAATGGAATCGAAGAGAAAGCCCAGAAACAAACGCACACAGGTAAGACCCCTCGATTAACACCAAAGGTGCCACTGCAAATCCATGGAGAAGGCTCGCCTTTTCAGCAAATAGAGCCACATATGGAAAGTATGGAACCTCCATCCCTGCCTCACACCAGACACAAAATTAATTTGAGGTGCATTATAAACCTAAATGTGAATGGTCGAACACCAAACATTTTTAGAAAAAAATGTAGGGGAATATCTTCAAGACCTTGGCAGTTGGCAAAGCCTGTGTATGCCCTTTGTTGTCCATGATTTGGGCTAAAAAGAACGACTTAAGATGAAATAAGAATGTTGCACATGATTGTTGGGGAACAGGCTGGAGACTGAAGGGCTGGAGGAGAGACATGGAGGGTAACTGTTTCCTTTGCTCCACGCCCTCCTGGCTGGGGACTGGCCATGGTAGTCCCCACTCCAGCCTCAGCATGAGCTGAGTCCCAGGAATCCCACCAACCCCTCCCCACACTCGTTTTTGCTGGGGGTTGATTGCCTCTTGTGGATTTCTCTTAATCCGATCACACCCTTTCTCTAACTCAAAAAGGTCATTCTATGAATGGCAGGATGTATCCTAAAGGCATGTTTTGGAAAGACAAATGGGAGTCTGGAACATTCTGTAGTGCCAGGAAGGAATGACATGGTCAGAAAATGATGGAGGACATATTGAAAGGATTCAGCAGGTAATTGGAAGGAGATCTCCATGGCCAAATCTGGAAAATATAAGCTGTAAACCAAATAATGACAATAATGTGTTATAACCCATAGAATAAAATAAATATTCCTGATTTCCATGCTGATATAAGTAACTTACATCAGCCCATACTGATATAAATAATGGAATCATCAACTAAACGAGAGGAAAGGAACAGCTCTTCCTACAGTAGAATTCCAGTTAATCAATGCAGAAGGGAAGATGGCGAGAGAAGGTTACCATAGGCACATGGCACAGTCGTCCCTGCTGCAGGAGAGGCTCACTGGTGATGCTACCTGAGCGGGCGAAGGTACGGTGACTGACAGGATGTCCACGTAGACTCAAGGTAGCTCCGCACAGGATAATGAGAAAACAGAAAGGGGAAAACAGGAACTTTACCTTGGAAAAACCCGGCAGGCACCACCGTCACCAACGGATCGAGATTCCACTAACAGTGTTAAAATATGCTGATATCATGTGCCTTCCGATACAGTGAACTGAGTAGGGCACATCGTTTCTTGGGTATTTTTTGCAAAAATACATAATCTTGATACGACCTCTGAGAAAATATCAGATAGACCCAAACTGAGAGACATTCTACAAAATAACTAACCAGTCAATCCTCTCAAATGTCTCAAAAGGTCCTGAAAAACCCAGACAGACTGAGGAACTGTCCCAGATTGGAGGGTGCTTGGGAGACATGAAAGCTGAATGTGATATTGGGTGAGTTTGTGAAGAGTCGGTGTTGCTTCTGCTTCTAATGCTCAGTAGGGGTCGCCACTGAAGCTACCTGGCCCTGGAGTTTTCCTTGGGGAGAAGTTTTTACTTCAATTTCTTTAATAGACATAGGGCTATTTAGATGATCTATTTCTTTTGAGGGAATTTTGGCAATTTGTTTTTTTCAAGGAATTTTCTGTACCAGCCACCAAAAAAACAAACAAAAAAAAAGAATCTGTTCATTTTATAAGTTGTCAATTGTATTGATTGTCATAAAGTTGTTCATAATATTCCCTTGTTTTTTCTTATTTTTTATTTTTTTAATGTGTGCAGAATCCTCTCTCATTCCTGATCTTTTTCTGCCGCGTCTCTCTCTCTCTCTCTCTCTCTCTCTCTCTCCTTAATTAGTCTGTGTAGAGGTTTGTCAATTTTATCGATCTGAAATAATCAGATTTTAGTTTAATTGATTTTCTCTATTGTTTCCCTGTTCTCTGTTGATTTCCACTTTGGTCTTTATTATTTCCTTCCCTTTTCTCACCTGGGATTTCTTTTTCTAGTTCCTGCAGGTGAAAGCTGAGGTCATTGATCTGAGCCCTTCTTTCCTAATATAGGGGTTTAATGGCCCAGGGGAGTGGCCTGAAACCCGACCGCAGGGAAACTCTCTCACTTTGATAGTAAAGCAGCCACTTCTGCTTCCTTTAGTACTGTCAGCAGGGGGTGTCTTTTCCTTTCTTTTCACATTTACCTCTTCAGTCTTTATATTTAAAGTGCATTTGTGGCCAGAATAAACTTGGGTCTTCCTTTTTTATCTGACACTCTCCGACTTTTATTTGAGGATGTTATACCACTAACATTTCTTGTGATTCTTCATCTGGTTAAGTTTGAGTTTATCATCTCTCTGTTCACTCTGTTTTACCCCTTTCCTTCTTTTTCTACCTTCCTTTAGAGTAGCCAAGTTTGTTTATGATTCCATTTTATCTTCTGTGGACTTTCCATATGAGTCTTTGTTTTGCTATTTGGTTTGTTAGCGACTTTAGGGTTTGCGGCATAGATCTAGCCTGTTACAGTCTATGCTCAGGTGACATTATAGCACTCCCCACACAGTATAAGAAACCTACAATAGTATCCTTCTGTGTCTCCCCTCCCGGCCTCTATGCTATTGTCTTGCCTTTTATTTTTACATTTGTTATAACCCCCTTAACATGCTGCTATCATTTTTTATCAAGCTGACTGCCAGTCAGTTCAGTCCTGAAGGTGGAATCTGGGCAGCCCAGCACATGATCCGTGTCGTGGACTAAGACAGGAGACATTGGATTGAACAAGTTGGGTTGGAACATTGTCCAACACATCACGTCTAATACCGAGTTATGCTTGGGCCACATGTTATACAGTTTCTGCCACCGCTAGAGCCTTCTGCCTGTTGTTCAGCCCATTTAACCAAAGCCACTTGAAGACTAGCTCCCCAAGCTAGGCTTGAAACAAGTAGGATGGAACTCCAGAGGAAGGATCCCAATCCATTTGCCTGGGCACCTGTTGAACACATGACAGTCACATTCATAACGTTTATAATTATAGATCACATAAAACACCATCTCAAGTGCCCAGAGACCAGCAGTGGACGTCAAATTGTAATGGAGGAAGCATTGTCAACCTCTCTGCATTACTCTCGGATTCCATTTCCTCTCTAATAGAAAACACGCTGAGGAGAGTTTGAGCCACCACAGACCCAGCATTACACAGCAAGGAAAAGGGCGCTAGGGAGAGAAATAAATAAATAGTATTGAGGCACAGAGAGAACACATATAATGGTTTGGCACAACAATAATATTAATATTAATATATATAATTTATATAATTAGGTACTTTATTAATAAATTGTTACATTATATTATACTATATATAACATGTTTATTTATCTTTATATTATTTATTATATTATTATACTATATTATATTATAATATTTATATGAGGATACTTCAAAAAGTTTGTGGAAAAATAGAATTGAAAGATGATACAAAAAAAAAAAGATAATAGGGAGGTTTCCATGAACTTTTTGACACACCCTCACATTTATATACTCATTGCATATTTTATATTTATATCATACTATACTATATTAAGAACATATTATTAGGTTATTATATTATTGTAGTAGTTTTGTCATGTTAACATTATTAATAACATCAACATATTGTTACTAATAAATATTGAAACAATAATTTTTATAAGTATGTAATTTATTGCATATTTATATACATTGTGAGGAAATAATATTTTTTTTCTGCTTTTTGGCGGGGGCCGGTACGCGGATCTGAGCCTAATTATTACTCTTCCAGTGGTAAATCTTTATTCAGGCCTCGTGCTAACCCTGTGACTCGAGTTTCTCACCTGCTTTCCATCGCAAACCCTGGAGCTGGGCTCCACCGCTGCACCCGTCTGGCAGCCGCGGCCCGGGGAGGCGTGGACCAGCCGCGAGTCGCTGCGGATCAGCTGCGAGGCTGACAGCTACGCGGCTGCGGTCGCAGCAAGTGCAGGGACTGTCCCCAGCGAGCCAGCCCTGCGAAGACACCGCCCGGACGCAGGGGGCGCTGCGGCCCAGCTCACTGCCCCGGAGCCGCGGGGAGCCCCGCGCCGCGGAGCCTGCTGGGACGTGTGGTTCGCGGCGCGCAGGCGCAGTACCGGGAGTCGAGGGGGGCGGTGGCCCGGGGCGTCCCCGCAGCGCGCCGGGGTGACCGTGGGTCCGAGCGCCGAGGGACCGCGCAGCCGTAAGTGGCCGGCGGCCCGGCCCTGGTCCTCGGGGGGGAGGGGGGGTTGGGGGCGCCCCGGGGGTGGGGGGGGGGGGG